TTACCAATTAAGCGCAGCTCCCGCGCGGCGCGTACTCGTTCGATAGAAATTTAATCAAGTCGCGGGGCAATTATTCCAATTCCCGCCGTCTTAGACGCGCACATCTCCGACTTCAGCGTAAATACACATTTGACGTTGAAATGAACAAGAGACACGCAAGTCTGGGGAGTGAACAAGAGCAGCGTGTTTATTTTATATAATTCTCATTTCGCTGAAAACATAAACGGAAAGGGGTGCGAATCAAAACTAACACAATTTCATACGCAGATTCACTTAATTAGACGTAATTTACAGTTCACGCAAGCTCTGTCATTAGAGATAAGAGACCAATAAATTTCTATTAACGCGCGCCCCCGCACAGCGTGGAGCCGAAATTTATCTAATGCACTTTTGTTGCCAACTGTATAAATGGCAGCGAAAGATGCGCCTGCGGGATTAACTCTGCAGCACCGATTGGATTGCGAGATCTTAATCGCGGAGCCCTTAATACTTATTAGTATACAACCGACACACCCGGTCGCGTTTAATGAGCACGCAGCTGCAACAATTATACCACGGCAGTGACAAATTTACGCGTCGACCCAGGGGAAATGCGAGAGGCGATGTGCTGAATTCATCTGATCCGCGTGCCTGCCCTACTAATCCACATCATGGTTTAAGCGCCCAATGATGCAAAAAAGGGCGTTCAATTATGGAGATTAACAGAGACTTAATGAATCGTATATTTATATCTCGCGATAAATAATAATAAAAGTCAGAGGAAGTAAAAAAAAAAACAAAGCGTAGTTTTAAAAAAAAGTTTTCTAAATTTCTTCAACGAAATATAATTTATTAAATTTGTTTTTCTTATTGTTGGAATGAATTTGGCTAAATTGAATAACTGAATCACACCATTTTTATAGATCACAATAATGAATGTCGACAGGGCTGCTGTGAATGGAGCAAATATAGCACTACTTCTTTATTTCCGCGTCGCTTGTTCACTTGGGTCACGTTTTATTGGGCGGAGATTGGAGGGTATCAATTTGCCGGCTGATTAATCTGCGTCGGTTCCTTTCGCCAGAATCAAAAAATAATTCCAATCGTTTAAAGCGGAGTCAAGCGGTGCGACGAGAAATATTACACACCCGCGTGCTGTGATTTATTCGCCTTTCCTGCAGACCGAGCCAATCTCCTATAAGTCGAGATTTATTTGATTTTTCCCAGGCTTTCATCACGCAGCACCAGCCGGCGATGACGATAAAAAATTCAAAAGTTCTTCGCCGAGAACTGCTGTGTAATTTTAAAACAGCCAGTCAGCGGCGCACTCGAAATATTGGAAAATGATTTTTCATCCTCCGACTCTCCATCAATCCCATCAGTGCTCCGACTGAACGTGGAATTTTTCCTATTTCCCGTAATGTCATTATGCCAGTCTGAAGCCGCAATCGCGCGGATGTGCTTTTTTGCTTCTTTACATGTCTGTGCTGTCTTTCCAATTTGAGCTCTGGCATTTTTTATTTCTTTAAAATCTACTGAATATCTCATCGAGAGGAATTATTTCTAAAGACAAAAATTAAATCTCAATATTTTCTCAAATAATTATGTCTTAAGTTAAATGTACTGAAATGAAAATCTATAATTTAAAAAATGAAAGAGGCGTGAAACATTTTTGAATGTTCATCAGAGGGCTAAAAAATTAAGTCTTGTTTTGGTTCTCAAATAATCTAAAGGTCATTGCAATAATCAATAATTTGGCAATATAATATTGGTAAATTTTAATCAAAACCTCCGGTGCTAGGAAAATGGAATATGACGATTGAAATTTGAAATTATTATATAATTTTGAAAATAGAAATTTACTTTTAAGATATTAAGTTTTATGGATTTTTGTATTTATAATTTATAAATATAAATTTTTATTTTTTTCTGTTTAAATTTTCTTTAAATAATTTTGATTGCGATATTCAAAGTCCTCCCCCAATTTTCTCTATATAAAAATTACTAGTCCGTATACTAATCTTTTAAGTAATTAAATACTGGCACAAATTTATAAAATGTACTGAAATAAGCGTGTTGAAATATATACAAGTTTATTTTAAAGTTGTAGTTTTTTTATATTGAGTGATTTTTTATTAAATATGGAGCTCCTAGCAGGTATTTCCCAATAAAATAAATAAATGAATGGAGGCAAAACTTTTTAAATTTTTGATTCAGAAACTCAAGCTTTATCGAACCGTAATTATCAGCAAATAACTAAACTCTTTGGAAAATATAACTGTAACACTGACTTAAATCATGTGGCAAAAAATGAAGCCCCTCTCCATTAAAAGAGCATCCTCAGCGAGTGTGTCCGCCGGCTATTTGATGGCTATAAATCAGCAAGGGGCTAGGCCATATTTCACTGCCGTCCTCCTTTGATGGTTTTCATCCCCATCGACAAGCGGCCCATTTATTGCTGTTGCCATCGATGATTGCCCGCATTTTTCTTCCGCTGACTTCCACTCTGGAAAGCCAGGCAATATGGAAGCGGCGCAGAAGAAAACAAATACACCACTCACTTACTTTGTGGCCCCCTCTGTGTCAGCGCACAATATTAAGGGCTGAGATATTAAAAATAATTGCCGGCTAGTCATTTCGCTGGGGAAGAAAGGAAAATACGGACGTCTGGAGGAAGACTGGCTCCTGTTTGGGCGCATTTGGCCACCCTCCAGCTCTCCGCCAGATGAATATATGAAATTTTTCTGCGAGCGAATTTGCAGCAGGCAGTGCATGCAAAATAGCTTTTAACTCCGTAGAGCCAAAAGTGAATTCTAGCGACTATAAACTGGATTTTTGCAGCCAAAATGAACACGTATGTACATGGCTCTTCTCCATTTTTAGCAAAATTAAGCTTCTAAAACTTTATGAAGCAGAAGAAGAGATAACATTTTTGCCATGTTTTTAAGTAATATTAAATATTACTGATATAAAGGGGAAAATTTCCTCTTATTCGGAGAAAAAAATCCAATCTTTTTATCCTTTTTAAAAATTATGGAATCATTAAAAGATTAAATTTTTATGAATAAGGGACTTCTTTCAGAAAAAAATATAAAAATTGCATGATCGGAAGTAGGACTGATTTTTTTTTAATAAATGTGATTTTATGTTTATTTGTTAGAACAGGTCATTGGAAAAAAGCAATTGGAGTGGTTAAAGACTCATCCAAAAGAGCCAGAAAATATTTATTAATATTAGGAATTGAGAACCCCATTAAATAAGCCGAAAAAATCAGAGATGTTTGAGGAAGGGATAAAGTCGAATATTTTATTCTGACGTATTTAGCTCAAATAGATGACCAGTTATGTATTAAATTCAAGCCTGAAAATCGAGATATTGAGATTTTTAAGTACTTTCATCCTATATTTACAATAAACTGATGGGAAGTCTTAATTTAAATTAAAGATGATGACTAATAGGGAAAAGTGACCGGTCTATTTTTTGAGGAAAAAATATTTACCAGACATACTGAATTTAAATTTTTTTAGTATTTTACACTTGAATAAAATAAAAATAATCTATGAATGCAAGTGTGAAATGCTGGTCTTTCAGAGGAGGGGCAAAACAAATCGTTTTTGCCTAGGATGGATTATTTGTCATGACAAGGCTTTGGTGTAATTTTGATTTGAGCTAAATCACTTAGTTACAACCATGAGCAGTGTGAAGATAAATGAAGAGCGTTTATTTTAAAAATGAATTCGCAATCAGTTGTCACCTGTTACATTAAAAAATCTAATTCAAGTTATCAGTGAGATAAGAGGTTGGGCGTAAAAAGCAAGTGATGTGAGTGGAGGAGTAAAAGACACACCCAAAGGAGCCAAACACAAGAAGCTTGACCTATACACTAAATATCGGTCTCTCTAGAGTACACATTAATAAACAGAGTACAAATTCATACATATTGTCCTTGCACTGCAATTCACCCAAATTGAACCAACTAGCTTTCGAGCTCAAATTCTATACAGAATAGCGCCAATAGCGGATATTGATAAGAGAAGAGAATTAATTTTAATCTGAAAAAAGCAGGGCTTGTCAAGAACATAATACGTAACAGCGCCTTCCTTATCTTAAAGCCTGCGATTTTTCATGTTTTTTACTTTAAATTTGATTGATGGAAGAAAATCTTCACCAAAAAACGTGATCTTTGATCTAGATACGAGCAAAAACAAATAGGGTCTGTTACTCAAATTTTATCAAATCAAATTTACGCCGTGATATTACGGATGCAGTCATACACAGTGTCAATCGTTCTTTTCCAACAGGTTCGATTTATTTTATTTGCTGGTGTTCTAGACAAATACAAATTCAAGCGTCTTCGATCCTTTCCCCGTCCGATTAACTTGGACATGCATCCTAATTTTTTAGGCTCAACTCTAGTGGTATTATTTACTAAGCAGCAATAATTTCTTAGCATATTTAGCAACATACAAGACATAAAAAGATTTTAGAATGTGTCAAATCTAATAAATAGAACAACGCTTCATTTAAAAGGTACTGTGTGTACTTTTTTATCATATACCTATACCTCTTACTATTTTGGCCAAATAGTAATAAATAGTAGCAATGAAACAGCAGAAATGGAACACGATTTTGACTTGGATGGACCAAAATCGACGTATCACGACGTATCTTCTCAAGCTTGTTCCCGCTGTTTGTTGTCAACGCGCAAATCTATAAAATCTATACAATTTCATTGATATCTTTTACGCTCCACTTAAGCACTTGAAGGATTTGATATTAAATATTCTGGCGATAAAATTTTGAAGTTTAAAAGTCTTTTAAAAGGTTATACACTTGAATGCTGTAAACAATGGCATGAATTCGTTTTTCGTCCAAACACACTTATCTTGGAGGGCTTGATGGAGTGTTTATGAAGTTTTATAATGCTTGGTCTTTTGGCACAGATTAACAGAATTTAGAAAGACACCTGACCAATATCAGGGTTTTATGTTATCAGTAAATTTAATTCTACTTGAAGTTTTTATTATTAGATTGACGGAGTAGTCTGTTATATAAACCAGAGTAGAACGAATTTTTTGAACATTTTTTGACGAACTTTCTTAAGCAGGGACTAGATTTTCTAGACTGGGTTTGAGTGAGTAAAATCAAATCTGTATTAATTTAATTTAATCTTAACTTGATGCAGAATGGAAGAAAACTTCTCTGCGCCAAACAAATCATTTTTGCCTCGAATTTTGCAAAATGCGAAACATGTATTGAGTCTTCTACCCATGATTGTCACTGTCTACCTGCAATTATTTCTTTATACTGTGCCTCTACTTACGGTCATCGTTTTAGCAAGGTAGATTTCTGATTTTTTCTCTCTCGTATTTTTGCTTTTTAAAATAGTTAATCTCATCAGTTTTATCTTCCAAACGAAAATAAATTTGGATTTTGTCAAATATACCTGAATGAATTCGATTCTTGTAGAACAAGAATTAGGCTATAATTTTTGAAAAATATCTTTTCACCGGGCTAGTCTATATTATTTTCAATTACAAATTTTAGCAATTACAATATGATTCAAGGTTAAATCAATTCTCAGAGAATGGGCACCGACCCCTTATTACTGGGAACAGAAGTGGGGTACGACTTTGGCGTGGATAGACCAGAATCGGCGTCTTGCCTTGGGATTTGTTCCGTCTTTTATTGCCGCGATCATGTATTGGTTGGTCGGCGCAATTTTTTTGGTTTTTGACTTTACTGGCTGGATGTCCAAGTACAAAACGCAGCCAGGCACCAACGAGCCCTTGCAAGCACCCCGTCTGACCAAGGTGGTCAAATGTGTGCTGATCAACCAATTCGTCGTTGGAATGTCGCTCACATTGCTCATGCACGAAATCACCCGCTTGACGTCGACGAAGGAGCAACTTGACCTGAACAAATTTAAGGAACTGCCCTCGATTTCCACGATGCTAATCCACCTGGCCGTGTTCGCGACGGTTAGAGAAGTTCTCAACTATTACACGCACAGGTTTGGAAGCCTTTCAAATTTAGCTTTTTTTGCCAAACAAAATAATTTCTCCAATTAGAATCGTTTGTGTATTGCGAAGAACAGGGGCATTAAGAATTTTTGGTTTCTTTTTAAGAAGACATTGTTGTACAAAATTTTCTGTCATTCAACCCTTGAGAATAATCGGGGGACTCATTTTCCACTCACGTTTTCCCTCGAGGAAGAATTCACTAATTTTAAAGTTCCTTTTATTGAAGTAAATAAATTATATTAAAAACTGCAGTTTTTTTTAAATGTTTCTTCACTTTTACTCAAAAAATACTAACAGCAAGTACTTGAGCTGTTTTTAACTCGATAAATTAATTAATTGTCTTATTTATAAAGAAAAAAATTAAAAAAAAAAAAAAAAAAAACAGTGAGTGAGAAAAAAAAACTCACAAACAGCCTTTCATACTGTCAAAAATCCTTACAATCAGTTGAAACACGTATGTATATTTGCTTATTTAAATTAACCGATTTTAGGCTGATGCACCATCGCTTGTTCTACAAGAACGTTCACAAGCAACACCATATGTGGTCGGCACCAATTGCCCTGATCAGTATTTATTGCCACCCAGTGGAGCACATCATCGTCAACGCCTTTCCCGCAATCACGGGACCGATTCTGATGAAGTCTCATCCACTCGTCCTTTGGTCATGGTTTCTGCTTGTCCAGCCCTGGTCAATGATCATCCACTCTGGCTACCACTTTCCCCTCTTTCCATGCCCTGAGTTCCACGACTTTCACCATATGACGTAATACATCTAAATTTAATATAACGAAATTTCTCATTATATTTCATCCAAACAGGAGCACTTCAAATTTTGGAAATCTGACAATCATGGACGCAATCCACGGCACGGACAAGCAATGGAAGAAAAGCGAGTCATACAAAAGGAGTTTCACACTCTTTGGAGTTAAGCCAGCACGTGAGATAATAAAAAGACTGCAATAGAAACTGCTTTTAGATAAACCGACTATGATTAATTCATAGTATTGAACTAGATTCAAAAATATAATTTAATGTTGCCAAATTTTGTGAATAGAAATAAAAACGACAAAAAAAATGTTCATTGATAATATTTTGAAGATAAGAAATTAATGATCGTATGTTGTAAATAAATATTTGAGCCTAAATTTTTTTTATAACTCGTTACTGAAAAACAAAATAAATTAATTGTATTTATATGCCCCGATGTACTCGCTAGGAGACTTCATCACACAAAATTTAATTTTGTGGTAGAAATCACGATCGATGGTTTATTCATGGTGGTTTGACTTTAAAGTTTGCTTTTCCTTGATGGGTTTTGTGAGTTGTTTAAATGACTTCACAGCTCAGGAATCATGGCTGCAGCCCGCAGCAGAAAAATTTAGAGCAGGATATTGTTTTTTCTTAAACAATAAACAACTCACATGACCCATCGAGGAAAAGCCGACTTTAAATTCAAATCACCACAAAAGTTGATTATTTGTAAGCAAACATAGGAAAGAAAAATTTTGCGGATGAAAAACTGCTACAGTACTCTTGGTTGAGAGGTCAATGACAAAAGTAACATTTTTGCACGTTTCTTCAGACAGGAAGAAATGGTGCAAAAAATGCCTTCCTAAACTTGGCAAAAGAAGAAGAGGATTGAAAAGAGGCAATAAATCCCCCAAAATACAAAAAGCAAAGATAAACATTTATCCAGATAGTGCTGTATATGCGGCGAGGCCGGGATAGAAAAAAATCGCCCGCCAAACTTATAAGCGGCCGTCGTCACGGCTGATTTTTGCAGCGGCTGTTAATAATGTTTGCGCTTGTTATCGACAGATAAGGTTGCTAACTGCCAGTTTTCCCCTGCGAGGCTAACAACAATGAGAGGGTGCGCAGCCTCCGTTTGATATAAAGGAGGAAATCTCTCTCTAGCAAAACTTCCTTCGCCCCCGTCTCTCTCTCTCTTCCTTTTCTATAATTCTCTTTCTCCTGCTGCTTCTTGCTGCACAAAAGCAATGTGTTAAATTTTAGCCGGCTGCTGGCGTGTAAGAGAATTTAGGACCGTGCTGGAGTATTTCCAGCTCGCTACCAGCAGACCAACCGGCCAACTTGAACGGATGATGATGTCAGCGAGCGAGCCGGGCCCGGTTTAAATCCCGACATCACTCTTCCCGCCTCCTAGTTAGTTAGCATCCGTTGAATAAACATTTCCATCCCGTACAAATCGTCTTATCATCATCACAAATGTTGTTCACTTGATGGTCAAAATATTCAGTTAAAATTATTTTTTTTCTTTACAATTAAAATCTGGCACAAGGGAAAATATTCCTTATAAATTTTTCAATTCGATTGAAGAGAATTCTTACATAGATTTCAATATTTTAGAGATATTTGAACGATACTTTAAGACTTTTTTGTGAATGTTTTCTTAGAAATTAAATTTTAAGGCCTTTCCAAACCTAAAAAGAAAATTTACATCAAAATAGTGTTTTCGTACACTATGGCGGTGTTTAATCAATTTTCTACAAGATTTAAAAAAAAAAAATATAAATACTTCAATTTTACCCGTTCAGTTTTGGCAAAATGGCCAAACTGAAACTTCTCTTTATGAATTATTAAGAATTGAGCTTTGAATAAAAGTAACATATTCTTTGATAATTGATGAAAGAATTTCGAAAAACCATTAAATTAAAATAGGCCTGGAATAAAACCGAAGAAGAGGGTACATTCAATACTCATTATCATCTATTTATTATTTTCATACCTTAAATGAAATAATTTTTAAAATCTCCGTTCATAATAACACCGTCCATGATGAGTATATCAAATTCGTCATCTACTTGCAAACGAGTACCATGCAAACGTTGTGTTAATTAAAAGCAAGCAGTTTGTTTTATTTATAAAGGAGATGGATTAAAAAATTAAAATCAAAATAAACATAAATTCAAAGGGAGAGTAGCTTGATGATGTAAAGTCGCGTGAGAGTTTGTTTATATCTTCACTTTTTTTCTTTTGTCGCACAAAAAAAAGACAGATTTCTTTGTTTGCTTGCGCTGAAATTAAAACACAATGCGTCGTTTGTTCCATCTCGCTGGCAAAATAAACATTGTTATTCAGCCGGAGGGGCCAGAAACGTGCACGGGCGTATAATTTTTATGAGAAAAAAGCAGTCTCGGAAAAGCCAGAGAGGCGTTGTATTCATGTATATACATATTATTTTTTTATGCGAGAAAATCCGCTCTTCAAAGTCCCTCGCTTGCGTGTGTGGGTACGCAAAGAATTTTAATACAATGAGCAATTTACCATTCTTGGCCGGGCCAGAGCAAGTATATAGTCTCTCGCTCCTTTGCATCAAAGTACGAGGGAAACATCAACTTTGTACCTTCGCTATTATATTTTATTTTTCTGCGGCGCAGCGTTATCTGTTGCTGCATATAAAGGCTTAAAGAAGGATGATGGAAACATCAAAGGCGCCGCTTTAAATGAAAATCTGTGAGCACGCCATAATGAAATGGAAATTGTAAGAAGAATGCAGACATTAGACTTGGTTTAAAATCAGAAAAGAAATGTAAAGAATATGAGCGAAATTAAAAATGGCACAACTTATAACACTTTCCAAGAAGTAGCAAAGTTTAACGCGGACAAAGTTTTTTTTCTTTTTTGAAATAAAAAAAGATGAGCTATTTTAAACAAACATCGGATTTAAATTCTGACATATTTATATAAAATTATGGACTAAAATAAGATTAGAAATTGCTTTGATGAAAAAGACAATGAAATGTTGGTTTTCTTTGAAGAGCACTATTTTATTTAAAAAATGCTACCTTCTATTTCCCAAAAAAATAAATTAACTAACTTGTCATCAAACCTGCTCAATAAAATTGGTGTCATCTTAAACGTAAGTTGCCGCAAAATATATTAACCATATTTAAAAAAATTTCTATTAGTTAGTGAGGTAATATTTTGAATAATTTTAGTTGCTTAAATTAATTCTTTTTTCCTTCATGATGCATAACAATTTAAAAAAAAAAATTATTCTTATTTCAGATCTACTCCAACTTCCTATATCGATATTCATCATAAACTATCTCCTATAACATAGTATTTTATATTTAAAAGAGACAGCATCAAAATGTAGGTGGATTCTTTTTAGGACCTCTGCCGTTTTCAGTTATGTTCTTATTGAACCTCAAACTCCCTCATATTAAGCTAAATATTGAAATCCCAGAAAAAATTTTGAAAATTTCAGTGATGTTTTTTTTTTTTAACCATTTTTAAGTTCAAATTGATAAATATTTAATGTTAATTGACATCAGTAAATTTATTGATTTGTTCTTCAGCTGAAATTTATAATAAAATAAAGTTATACGTACTAAATTATAAGAAAATATAGTATTAAAATTGATTTTTGCAAAAAAAAACTAAAAATAAATGTATTATTATAATAGTAAAATTACAATTATAATAATACATATATAAAATTTTTTATATTGTATATGTTGTACACGACAGTGCTTAATAAATATATGATTGATTGATAAAATTTTTTAGGTAATTCAATTGAGAAAACGTAAACATTAATTTTTTTCTAATTTTCCCTCACAAGTGAAAAAAGACGAGATTTATTGTGGTGTTAAAAAACATGAGAAATAAATGCCCGGGACACACACGCTGTCATTTCGCGGTTTTGCAATAAAGTTGAGTGAAAAACAGGCGGGGTGCCGCGCCGCAAACTCGGTCGGTCGGTCGCCCAGGCGCGCGTTTTCATTTTTTGCAAGTGCATCAGGCCAAGTGGCGGCGGCTGTGTCACATTAAATCAAGCCACTCGAGCTAACTGCTGGCTCTGGTCATGGAGAAAAATGGAACTTTTCTTGTTGAAAGCGACGGGCGGTCGCGTGTAATATACGGCGGCGAGTGGAATTTTGCAAAAAAGCAGCAAAGAAAAAGAACCTCCCGTGGAAACTGGCATGGGTCCTAAACGGGCGCCGGTGTCAAAGCCAGCCGAAATTTGCACTTGCGGTTTGCTTTCATCTAAGCACCCTCATTAATTTCGCAAAGGTGTAGAGCGGCTAGAGAGTTGGCCACGCCGAGAGATGAAAGAGGCTTTGTGCTTGAAAAGAATAAAAAAATCTTAATGCTCTTTGCTGAATGCGAAAGGAGGAAAGTGTTGGTTATATAAATTAATGAGGAGATAAGAGGATATCTAATTTATTTCTTTGAGGGAGATAAAGGTAAAGCTCTTTTTTTTTACCAAAAGACCTGATTTGGGTTCCAGAAAAATGAAATATTTATAAAACTAAATGCCCAAAGCAATTACCAATTACAAAATTGAATCAAGACGAGAATGTAGTAGAAAAGTTTATTTCTTCTTAGAAAAAAAAGGAAAATGGTCTGCATAGAGTTACGTTTGATTTTGTTTATAAATATATTAATTATATACGTCTCTGTACTATGCATCAAGAAAATTTCATCCCATTCTCTGTCCCAATCTTCCAAACTAAAAATTTGACCAAATCAAATGAGCTTCTCCAATTTTTTATTTTAAAATATAAGGCGTTTTCTGAATTTATAATATAATTGACATATTGATAAAAAAAAATGAAGCAAGAAAATTGATTGTATTTTCTTTCATTTAAGCTCCTAGATTAAACTTACATTCAGGATCACTTTCACCGCACTTCGATAAATTCCTAATCAGGGGGTCAGTGGCATTTGTGCTTCTCAGAAGCGCTCCCATTAATCACAGATCAGCGAATTCAAAGCTCAAAGCTTAGTTCTAATGAAGCACTGGAGCGAACAACAAACACATACAATCCTTATCAAATTACTAGGAGAGGCTGAGATTGCCATTGTTTACTGACCAAACTGCGGCCTGATTCTGATGCTGGTTGGTTAACAAAGTTTGCACTCTCAAAGAACAAGCGCCGCTCTCCTTTGAAGCAGCAATTTTGGTCAGAGAAGAGCAGGGTTTGGGCGAAAGAATAAAGGACGCAACACACACAACACTTAATGTTAATTTCACTGCCCAAGAGTGGAGAAATTACTCAAATATTCAGCTCAGTAAAATTTTCTTACAGGAACTGGAAACGTTTAAAAAATATTTAATAAAGATTTTCAGATTGCAGATTATTTAAAAACAGTTCACTTTTTGTAAAATTATTTTTAAAAAAAAAATTTTAGATTTTTGAATTGCAAAGATTATGATATATTTTTTGAAGAATAAAGCTATGTTAAAATTACTGCCTAAAAAACTTTTGAATCGTTCTGCGCAAAGACCTATGAGCATCGCAACAGTGGATTTTTAATTTCCTGAAAGTTTCAGACCCTTTAGTTTCAAGAAATGTTTATTGGGTTCGAATTTTAATGAGTTTCACTCTCGGAATTTTAACACAGGTACTGCTTCTACTAACAGAAATTCCTGTTCATTATTGCGTGCCTCTCAGTTTATCAACGTAGATTCACAGACATTGAACGAGGCTAATTAAATTCCTTTACGTTCAGATTCAATACGTAGCCTATTTGCAGCAATTACTTGCCTTATCTTGCAGAAATTTACGCAGCAATTTCACTTTACTCGTCGAAAATTTCCCGTCGCTGAACTTTTGCTTCTGCGTAGGTTTCTCTCTCACTTTCATCAAATAATGGGGCGGCCGAATTCTTATCTTTAATGTCTCTCTCTGGTGTGCTGCCAGTTGCGTCCTTTTTATTACATCCAGAACAAATAGCGCGCCAGAGAGCTTTCTCCTCAGTTCCAACCGAACCTAATTCTCAGGCGAAAACCTCAAAACGCCTTGGGTGGGATATTTCCTTTGCAAAGAAAATGCAGAGGCGTCGCGGCGATTAATTATTTTTTGCAGCGCGGGATTTGGCTGGAAACGCAATATAACGGCTGCGTTATTATTTGTGTAATTTTATTGCGTTTCCGCGACGTTATTAAAGTGGTGCTGGCAGGAAGTAGTTACACAGGCAGGCAATTTATTGCCCCTTTTCCAGTCATGCCTCATGCGAGAGAAGGATAAATACATATAAGCGCTCGGGCGCGCACTGCAGCGTGAAATCGGCTAATATATGACGTGGTCTTTTAGTATTCACACGGCCCCGTGCACACTTTAATACATTACACACACGATGTACAGCACAAAGTAGAGAGCATCTTTCAGGGAGATGCGCAGTAATGAAAATTCGATACCTGTGATGCTCCAGCAAAAACCAAGTATGATGAAAAATTTGTTTCACATGTTAAATGAGTGAATGGAGTGAAAAAGTTTCTTAAAAAACGAACGAGATTAATGAGAAAATGAAAAAGTTTTTGTACAAACAATTTACATGAAATTGATGACCTTTTGAGAAGAAAAACTGTTAAAAATATTTTCCCCAATTGAAATTCTAATTAAAAATCCTACCTCAGGTTGTAATAAAAGTGTCAATATTAAATATATACATATGTTAAAATTTAATTACCTTATAAATTAAATTGTTTTGCACTGTTTTGTATATTTTTTCTCCATTTAACAGGAAAAATGGCGATGTTTCGAAAATTTATTATCACATGGTCTCATTTAAAATAAAAAAATGATTTTTTTTTTAAATATTAAATACCCATCAATTCAAGTTTAAATTTTTTTTTTTTTAATATGGATGGAAATTATTGTTTTGCATATGCGCATCTCCCTTCAAATTCTCTTGTGTTCAAAGTAACAGAGAACCCTGGAGCGTTAGCACTCCATGCGGGGAACACGATGAATAACTTAATGTGCATCCATCGTTTGATTTACGGGCTAATCACGGCTGATCGACTTGCTTATTTGTTATGTATCGTATGCATATTGGACGCCGAGAGGTGATTCGTTTTTATCTAACGCCTGCCGCGATGATGATGATATGCAAAGAGCGTTTTGTATGCCGAGCATGCACCGAGAAATAGAATTACTTTACCCGCGGTGCATATAAAATATCCACGGTGAAATGGTGGTTTTCGCCGCCGCCGAGCTTCGAAAGAATGCAAAAGTTGGAAAAAATATTTTCCGACGCTCACAAATCCCGTTGGCAGGACGGCGAAAAACTTTCCTTCTTTTCCTAAAGCGACCAAAGGGATTTCTTTCCTTTTCTTACTCCTCGGCAGCAGGAAATCGATTATCGGTATGGGAGCTTTCAGCAAGTAATTTTAGAGTTATGCAACCGGCTTGACGTATATGTTGAGCAGGAGGTATCACAAACCCTTCAGAAAGAATCATTCAATCCAGATTTATTGCTTCAAGAGATTTTTCTCCCATAAATTGGAATTTTCTTGGAAATGATGATTACGAAGTGATTAATTTTTATCAACATTTATATGAAATTTTCGGAACTTGCTTTCCTTTCCCATCCAAGTTTTTCACCCTCTGCAAGGCCTACCTGTGGCAAAATTTGTGATACGTGATAAGAAGTGATGCGAAAATTTTTTCAGTCAACTAAGGCCCACTGCAGCGGATGGAGTCTTTTTGATCTCAGAAATTTTAGCGAAATTCTAACTATAAACGTAATTTTTAATTTTTCAGATTGTTCTCTTAATTAATTACCGGGACTGAGCTTTTGCTCTAGATAAAAAGCACGGTCCTTGCGAATGCATTGCATCAAACTACTGATGCTAACGAAAAAATAAAATACCAGTAAAATTAATTTAGCAAATTTTTTTTTAGTCGGAGCGTTTGTGCTCCTCTAAGGATCCATTGCCTCAAAAAAATTTTCTGTGGGATATTGCTAGTGTTTTTTTTTTTAAGCAATATTCTTCTTGGAAATAAAGCAAATGTGCGACAGACAATAAAATTCTGAAAATTTCCGGCAATGAAATTCAATCATAAAACCAGTGCATACTTGAAGACGGTAGAGAAGCAATTTTCCAACTTACCTTCAATAAAAAGGAAGAAGCCGTGCGGATTCTTCTGGAGGACCTCAATGGCTTTGCGCGTCATGTTGGCCAGGGAAGGATCGCCATTTGCAGAATTATCACGATCCACTTCGAAATCCAGATGGGAGTAGGAAAATAGACCTGGAATAATAAATATTTTATAACGTATGCTGAGTAGCGTGGCAAAAAATAAAATAAAATCTTCCGGCTGCATGACCTCTGGTATTGAGATGCTGCTCGCTCCACTTTTATTACGTTTCTGCGTTACTCTCGTAAAATCTGTGAATCTCTCTTTTGCGCAATTTTTATGGCCCGGATGTAAATTGGCTGATGCGACATTTATGCGTGCAAACCTCGGTCGGCTTGGCTCTTTCACAATCATTTCAGAAAGCACTCGCCGACATTCCACGCGCTGCGCATTCGGTGCTGGCTGACTTTTATCCCGCGACTCAGTGTCAACCGCGCGTTTGCAGCCGGCTTAATTTCACGCCCAAAAGTGAAAACGCCACTGGGCTTGAAATTTCACTAAAAGTGCGCAAGTGGATGAATTTCCCAACAACACACACAGCTCTCGCGCTGTTCGAGTGGTGCTCTTAACTGCATGGTGTTTGCGTGGAAATCCGAGATGAGAAAAATACATTGTTTGAATGGCCCTTTAAAAAAAAAAATCGTAAAAAATAATTTTTTCTGACTTTTTCATATGAAAATGAAACGATGAAAATATTTTAACATAAAAGTTGTCACTGAAAAACCAGATTATTTTTTAGCTAAATTTTACCTTAATATAGAAGTGAAGAGATCGGGCTTTTTCCTAGCTGTCAAAATGGTATTTATTCAAAAACGATAACTTTACTCCCATGATCATCTCCTCGAGTGCCCATTTTTTTAAAACTAATTTTAGCATTAAATTATTATTATTATTTTTTTTTTATATGTAAAATTTAACAGGCAAATAACTTTTCGCATTATTTTAATAAAAGCAAAATTTTTGAGTCTTTGAGTACAAAGAAGAATTTTCTTTAGACTACAATTATTGAAAGATATTTTTTTTTAAATGAAACGATTTCTCTGATTTTTTCTCAGCTCATTCAAAATTAAAATTTAACTTAAGCATCATTTTACGGAACTCAAAAGAGTTATAAGTTAATTCAATGTCAGAGTAGTTCAGTTCAAGCTGGTTATACTTGTTGAAAAAATATTGTTATGCCCCGTTTCAACTTTCATTGACGATAAAGTACTTGATAATGTTACTTAACATTTTTATGATATTCAGTCATTATAAATATTAAAATAAGAAGTGTTATTTTAATCTCATTTTGAAAAACGAAAAATAGAATTGAATAATTTTGTAAAAATATCAATATTTGGTAATATAAAAATTATAAAAATGAATTTTTTTGAAGAAATTGTCACACAGCGATGATCATGGCAGTGAAGAGATCGGGCTTTTTCCTTGTCGTAAAAATTGTTTTTGAATAAAAGCAAATAAGAAAAAAGCCCGATCTCTTCACTTGCAATGTCCATGAATATTCGGATTTTATTTTTGCTTAATGACGAGATTGGTCTAGTACAGAACTTATTATACCACCCTAATATTGTGAGCCGGGCACAAGCCCCTGCAGCAACTTTCAAAGCCTGCTTGTTTTGAGGTCATGAAATTCAACTTCCGCCGACGGCCGCTCTAATCTCCAGCTGGATGCTACGAGTTGGCGCACCCACCCTTATGTTGCATTAACACAAATCTGCGATTTACAAGAAGCCCCTTACTTGCCTCTCTCTCGTGATTTTTGCGACGAGATGTTAATTAACGAAAATATAGTCGCCGCAGCGGGCGTGCTAATTAGGCAAATCCCCGAAATGGGTTCTAATCCCGGGCTCAGACCTGCATGAACTGCTCCCGAAACCAACCTCAAGGGCAAAAATCGACGCAAGTCAGCGCGGGTCGCGCCAGGCAAGGGGATAACTCGGCGCATTATATTTTACACTGGCTGTCCTCGAGCTCCTCTATTGCACGGAAGCTCAGCTATCTATCTATGTACACCACCCTGATACGTACATATGTACTGCAAATACATACATACAAGTTTTTGCTCGGCCCGCTTTTGTCGCACATACAACGAAGGATTATTGCCGCCGACAAGATTAGCAGCACATGCACCACCATCACTATCTGGTACGAGCTGCTGCTTCGCCTCGGCCCGGCCAGGATATCTTTCTTGCGGCACGCGCTCTCTCATCTCTGCTTTCTCTCTCTCTCTCTCTAAAGGCCTCGCCATCCCTTATATCTTATTGCTGAAATGGATTTCGTTCTGCTCTGAGAAGCCTCCCGCCACTCCCATATTAATTGCCAATAACTTGTTGGCCGTGGATTTGGAACGTCTGGAAATTCGCCTGAACTTTGGCCAGCGCGGGGACGTGCTTAGTGCGGCCGATTCACGTGTGAGAGAGGACAGGACTTGTGGGATTTGACCGAGCGGAAGCCGAATCTGAGCTTGCTGAAGAAAGACTAAAATTCGGAATTTTTCTGTTAAAAGTTAAAAGAAAGATACACAAAAAATCTAAAAGCAATCAAATAAGTTAATTTAGTGATACCTTTTCTTTTTAAATAAATATACAAGGTTCAAATTTTAATTCGACATGGATTGTGCTTGATACTTGACAATTATAAAAATTTTAGGGAGTCTAAATAATGAAATTTTGTCAAGAAAAAAAAACAGGGAAGGCTTGATAAATTTTCGCATTTATATTCATATCAATTTTTTTTTTAAATTTAAAAAAAAAAATTGTTCATCTTATTGTTAGCTGTCATTTATCCCTTCCAATTCATCACCCCAATTCCCTTATGCCTTAATCTTAACCAACCTTTCCCCCTCTCTTGCCTAAAACGTGTGGTAGTTTCATTAGATTTAATTTGGGCTTGATATTCAACGGAAATTACTTTTTTTAATTGTTTATTTTTGATATTCAATAAAGTAAAAACAAATAAAATCAATTCAATGACGTTAAAAAATTTAATGAACCTAATTGTAAAAAGGAAAACTGCAGAAACTTCTTGTATCCTCTGCAATAGCCAAAACCATTAAAAATGTTTTTTATAACCACCGTAAGCCCAACAAGTTAATGCGCGCTCTTCTTGAGGAAGTAATCCATCCGTCAAAGGCGAACTCGCGCTCGCTGACTAACGGCCGTGATAAATAAAATCCACGTGAAATCACAAGACAGACATTAAATCTTTAAGTGTCGAGAGGAGAAAAAAGCAAGTGAGTTGATTTACAGCCAGTGTAATTCAAAGTTGAGCAACTCGGCGGAGAGGACACGGTGGAAGGATTTATTTTGCGCAAGAAAAGTCGTTAAATTGGAACTCATTAAGGATAAACACAAGAGGGATAAAATTCCTTAATGACCGCGTGGGCCAGAGCAGATTGGCGTTCCGTGAGAACGAAATGCACCGACGATCCCCAGGGCACCAGCAGAGAGAAGTTGATGCAAATCTAATTTGAGGAAGAAATCAAATTATATACCAGAGCGCTGCTACTTTCATACATTGTGCAGTTCTGCCCTCCCACGTGGGCACATTAAACTCTTTTTCGCTATTATGAGAGAGAAAAAGGCGCACCGACAATGAAGTGGCGGGCACTAAAAATATGCTCGACAGAGAGCGGAATTGCACGTTATATCCATCTATGTATGCAAAGTGTAAAGCACACTTTGCAGCAGCTGCAACTTTTTCCATCCAGCAAGCACTTTTGCACGGCACCTCGCTGCTCTCTGCTACTGCGCACAGATAGAGCAGCAGCCAGACTATCTGCAGGATATTAATTTTATTACCCGGCCCATCTGATAAAAATAGCCGCGCAAGGAAAACAACGCGAGCGTGCCACATTTGATCTTTCCCGCACCCTGGGATGAAGTGATGCGAACGTCGGTTTATTTTGCCCAAAATATATTTCTTGTTATTGCTTATTGTAAGACCCTAGTTAAAAAACTAAATAGAAATTAGCGAAATTTAAGCGCAAAGTCCAAAGGTCACAATTTTCTATTCAATAATAAGTACTTTTGACAGCATGTATTTTGTTGCAAATGAATAAAAAATTGGCAAATGAAGAAATTATCAATAATAAATAGGTTTTATTTTTGTTTGATTATGAAAAAATAAAAAAATTAAAATATTTTTATTGATGATTTTACTAAATTCAAAAAATTAACCTTTCCAGTCATTGATATTTGAATTTTCTATAAATAGATTAAATATTTTTAAAAGTTAAATAAAATTACATCATCAATGTGGCGAATTTTAAAATTAACTACTTAATTCTTTCTGTACATTAGGAACCTTTAAAAGTATTCAACATTTAAATAACGCTTTTCCTTTTCGTCCACAAAAATGATTTTGAAGGTCCACTTTAGATGTAGAATCCACACTCCATTATTGACATTTTCTATCAACAGATTGGTTTGTGGCGGCTTTTTGCTTTGTCTTTTTAATGGAAATTTCGTTAGTTTTTATTATCAAATTCGTCTTCCCACTTTTCTTTTCCCATAATCTCCACTAAGCACTTCAAAACAAAGAGTGACACTGCGAAAGAAACAGCCAGTTTCATCAGAAATAATTAAAAAGTCAAATTTCAATCCAAAAACTCATTAATTTGCAGCAAAACGTGACCAATTATTTTCCAAATCATTGTTTTAGGATAACGAGAGAATTTTCATTACAGATTTGGCTGAATTGAATATTTGCCGAAATTCAATGGGCAAAATGTTTAGTTGTAAAACTGGCACATGGACGTTTGTCGCCAGCCCTCATATTTCCTCATTTCCGAAAATATCCGCTCTCATCTCTTTCCATTAGTCGGCAGGCAAGTTTGTTTGCCAAAATGCTCGCGCACTTTGGAGCGGCTCCATTTATAAAGTAAAACGTCGTTAGCGCGGTGGCAGAAATTTATGGGGGCGAGCCTCGATAATCGAGGACTGAAATATCGCACACGTACGCACCTAGGAGATGGTCCACGTTAGCAGGGTCCACGTTGTCGAACTGGCCCTTGTTCCACACGTACTGGGCGCGGATATTGCGTTTCTTTTTATCGCGAGACCAATCGTCGATCAAGTTGCGACCGTCCAGCCGACGGCCCTCCTCCGTGTCAACCTCGGGGTCGCGCGCCACTTTGGGCATGAAGTGACGCCTTCCGCCACCCAAAATCACCTGAAATCAATCATACAATTTTTCAAATTAAAAGCTGTATTGATGAAAATTTTACTTTGGAGGTAATTGAGAGGAATGAAAAAAAACTATGTTTTTTAATGAGTAATTAAATAATTTGGAATTTTAGTTTTAAATTTTCACTAGTTTTTTAATTACGAAATTGCTAAAATGTAAATTGTGATGTTTTTAAATAAATTATCTTCTTTTCAATTAAAACTTCTAAAGGTTTGATACGAAAATACACAAAAAAAAGGAAGGCATAAAAATACCTTTAGAATATTCGATGGAAAGTCGACTAGGCATTAAAAAGGATATTTAATTGTAAAAAGTACTACATTTAATTGATTTTATTGTGAATTATAATTATTGGTATCCAATATTTTGTTCTGAATTTTATAATGCTTATAAATTATTTGTAAAAATGGTATGAACATCAAAATGAAAAATAAATTTTTTTAATAATATTACTGAAATATTTAATACAAATTTTAGATATTCATATCACACAATAAATGTTACCAAAAATAATATCCGAGCTTATCGTACCATAATATGAAAAGCCTCGTAAATACAATTACTGAAATTTGAGACTTGTATAGTCTGGAAAAGGCACACGTGTGTTGTGTTCTATCATGTCAAACTACTTCCACTCGTTTCTTTATTTTTTTGCGAGCTGCTTTTGGACGAAGAAAAATTACATTGGTGTGAAAGGAGAAAAAAAACTCGGGGGCACTTTAAGTGTCACTCCGCAGTGGTGCAAAGATCTGGCTGGCGTCAAATATGATTTCTTTGGAGCGATCGCAGCAGCTCGCGTGTTTCACAACCGTCACTTTGGCGACAAAAAAAAAACTAAGAGGGGCTAAAAAGGAGAAGGAAGTGTCGAATTTTGCATCTTTTTCTCGGTGTTTGTAAAACTCACATTGATGTTTCTGCCCGGCTCGTCTTCCACCAGCTGCCTCACGATGTCCTTGCACGTTTTCCGGGCGCCGGGGGGAATTTTCGAGTCATCCTCCCAGTACCTGCTGGCCGAGTGCGCGTACAGGGCCGCAGGGGTGCCGTGGGTGATGCGAGTGTTCGTCACGATCCCCGTGGATTTGCCTGCAACAATGAAAGGGCAAATGTTTTTTATTCAACTTTAAAAAGGCGAAAAAAGACTTTATTCAATTTAAAATTGCCAGAGCAGCTATGACGTTTGTAAATAAACGCGTGTATAAAAGTTTCCTCTTTGACATTTGAAATCCCTGGAAAACAAGCACTTGATGCCGGAGGCTCACTTTAGTTTTTGGAATAAACATATATTGGGAAAAAAATAAGGACCTTTTCTTTAGAGCAACAGAAAGGAAAAATGAAGAACTTGATAAAAAAAAACCTGGAAAGGGCAATTTAGTGGAATTAAAATCATATTTAAATTGGAGATAAATGATTTCAAATTTTTTTAAAAAAAGTGAAAAAACCCACTGATTTATAAAAATATGGCAGAACATAAACTGGCGTGACAAAATATGCACTTTCTAAACAGAATGTTAATCACAAAATCATGATTCGGTGTAGCCTAAAACTTAAAAACTTTAGTTTTTATCAAGTAAGCATAGACACAATAAAATATCCACTTTATTCGAATTTTCTATAGTGTTCAGTAAAAATCAAAATTTATTAATCTCTGCCCAAATACATCATCCATGTATTCAATATTATAAAATAGTTACTTAAATTTAATTACCTTATAACAGTAAAGTTTCAATTTATTAAAAAAAAACTAAATAAACAAACAGATTAAAAACGACGAAAGGAATATTGAGCCACTTTTTTGTGTGGAAATAAAAAAATCTGTTATTTTTATTCTCTTTGTCTAACCTAACATTGCGTTCAGGAGGGATTGCTGTGTGTTTACATCAGCCAGCCAGAGCAAAACACGGCCGCGGCTGGTTTCGTGAAAGCTGCAAAAATGCTGCGCACACAAACAAAGCGCTCGTTGCTTTATATCCCCTTTTGGCTTAGTTCTTACATCAGAATACACTTGAGCTGCCACCGCTGAATTGTAATTTAATCCAACTAGCAACTCGGAGCGCTCGCTCGCGGCCCCAAAGCATTGCGATAGCCGTGTGGCGGCGAGAATAACAAACCAACTCTGCGCCACACTTTGATTGCGATCGCCGCAATATTGCAGCAAAAGAGAGACAGACGAACACTGCTTTTTCTTCAGCATTTCTCCAGCTCGCAGCGCACTTGATCATTCTTCATCAAAGCTACTTTGATTGCAATATTATGATAGACAGTTTTCTTTTCAGACTTCAATTGCAATCAGCAGAAATGAAACCAAGCTAAAGCCAAGGCTCTGCAGATTTATTTTTATAAAGTTTATTTCTGTTGTGAAAAAAATTTTATATATAATTATGCTACATCAACTGTTGTGAAAATTTAAAGAATAGTTTCAGATATTTTTTAACGGCTTTTAAGTAAAATGTATACGAAGAACCAGAAATATATGATTTATTTTAAATCAAATTGGGAATTTTAAGTCATTGTAGACCCTCAAATTAAACTTTAAAATTCCAATTTGGGCTTTATTTTTGCATTCTAGTTCCAACAAGTAGAGCTCAAAATTATTTAATATCATTTTCATCCAAAATAAATATTTTGTACATAATTGCTAATAATGAAGATCCCATCGGTTGGAAACTGTTTAATTTTTCATATATCAAAAAATTTAATCTCCGAGTCTTTCTCTTCTTCTACTTATTGTGCTTGCATCAAACAAACTTATGAAGAACATATTTTTTTTTTACCTTTTTAACTATTGAATTGATTTATATTAATTAAAATTCTTGATTAAAGACATTAATACTAAACAAATTTCAAGCCCACAATGAGTTTTCCCCTCGATCGTAAATTGCTAAAATATATTTTAAGAACAATGCATAATTGATTCCATCAGGTCTTAAATAATCACTCGCTTGAGCGGACTGACAATAAAATCGTTGCAGTTCTTGCCAGAAAAAAGCGGGAAACATATACATAAATCCCAGTTAAACCGGGGAGTGACAAGAATGCAATTTGTGTGGCAGTGAAAATATTTGGAAAAGCAAAGCCAGGCCCGATTTGTATGTTGACGACCTACTTTCCGTCGGCGAAGATTCACAACCGATAAACATGGCCCGAAAACGCGCGACGAGTAAATTAAAGTGGGATGTAACTGTCGCAGTGTCCCTGGCAGCCAAGCCCCGTCGTTCGAAACAGAGGCTGTTCATTATTGGAAAGTGGGTCTCGCGCATTTTCTTCTTGGCCGTGAGCGTCGAGAGGCATATTATGCACATTTCCTCCCTTAGAGTGATTTGCTGAATCGCGCGGATTTAATGAGTTGGTCGCGACCTGCATCCGATATGAGTGCACTCGAGACGTTCTGAGCATTGCAGCCTTTTTTCAAACACTGTGCTAACGAAGGTGTTAACGTCACTTTGAGAGGGTGGAGGTGAGAAATTGCATAGAGAAAAATCTTACAACATCTTCTATAGCAATGGCGATAGGGGAATGTTTACCGTATTGAACGTATAAACGCGTAATGGAGCATGAACTGGTTAAACGCGCAATTTCATCCCTACGACCTACATAATAGTTGTTTATTCCTTCAGCAATCGCGCATTTATTTTCGTGTAAAAAATTATACCTTTAGATCATTCAAAAAAACTCACTCAACCTGCAGCAACGTTTTTGACAAGAACAACAAAATAAGTCAACTTTTCTTAAAGGTTTTACCTAATTCTTACTAGCTGGACGTTAATATTTAACATTGTCTTTAAAATATTATTTACTGAAGGTATAGAATTATTTTTCTTTTCCTTCATTTTTAATTATAATGGATAAGTAGAGGAAATAAAAAAGGAATAAGAAAAATGAGGTCAGCCCCCAGCTTTATGCGGCGCAACTGAACTCGCGGAAATGTTTTGAAGCAACGGCTAGGTCTTTTTTCCGAGTAATTGATTGCAGTTGCACGGCCGACCACATGCCATCAATCGCGAGCGTGTCCCTCTCTCTGCATTATTTTCCTTTTAGCTGCTCATTTCCCGCAATACATCAAACTGACTGATTTTTTTGTACTTTTCCCAATGGCGCCGTCGCTTGCATTGTCCTCGCCAATTGAAACACACACACACGTCGGGGCTAAACAATTTACCTCGCTGCTGCTCACTGAGCATAAAAACGATTCATTATTCCGAATGATCGCCACCGCTCGGTTTATGGCACCAATTCGCCACCGTCCCAGCGCCGAAACTTGGATTGAAAACGCGCCGATTTTGACGGCGGGTTTTTAATTAAAATTTATCCGCATTTCAATTTAACCAAGCAGGAGAGCGATTTCAATTATGCTCTGCTTGTTTTGGAATGAGAAATTGAAGACTAGTTTCATATAGAATACGCGGAACCGCATAATGAACAGTCGAAAAATTGTATTCTAGGCTTTTCTACTATTCAAGGCTAGGGTTGGATATAATTATGTTTCTATGAACTTAAAGTTGTTTTTGATGAAATTTTTATTAATTATAATGTTAACAGATTATAAGAAAAAATCTTTTCAAGACTCTTTTAACAGAAAAATAAAATAAATTTAAATAAAATATAAATAAATAAAAGAAATAAATAAATTAATGCTATTCAGAACCAACTTGTCAAAAAACCAGCCAACCCAATTTTTAGCTGGATTTGAAACATAAAGAAATAGCAAAATTATATATAATATTAATAAATTATTAAATATAATAATATATTGATATTTTTACTATTAAAAAATTTAGTTTAAAATCATGTGTATATTTGTAAATAATCTAATTATTATTTGTTATAGAATAACCTGACTTTGCAAATAGTTGCGAATAGGGAAACATCAGAACAAAAAACCCTTTCCTTGTTTCTAAAATTGAGGAAGCTCGAAAGCGCTGTATAAAATATTCTGCGCTCCTTCTCTAACCACGTAACAAGTGGGGCAAACAAGAGAAGAAGTTTCTCTTATGAATAAAATTTATCCGAAATTCCAACCCCCTGAAGCTTTTTGTTAATCAGCTTGCTGCGAGCGAGCGCATTCACAGAATACCGTGGAACAAGTAGTCATCCCAAATTAAAATGTTCCAATTTCATCATGCAGCTAATATATAAAGGAGGAGAAGACAAAAACAAATTAATCAGCAGCCGCCTCCTTTGTCTGAAGAAAATCTTGGGTCGGGCGAAATTTCTTGCCTGTAGCAAAAAGCTGTCTAAAAGCCTTTGTGCTTTGACCGAACACAGAACACCGACGTGTACGACTTTTGCACGTCTCCCAGTTCGGCGCTAATGCCATTTATCATTTCGCTCTCTCCTAGTAAACAAGGATGAAATTCAGCGTCCGTCTCTCTGGGTGTTAATAAGCGTGCATGACAGCACATCGCACGCCCGCCTCAATTAGCCTGCGAACTTGCAAAGCAAAAGACGCGCCTCTCTTCTTTCGCTTTTCGAAAAAGTTTCAATTTAATTCTGCGCGGCAAGTGCACATCCGAAATAGGAGCCTCCGCTAGTTTATTGCTACGGTTTAGAATTCTAGTTTTGTATTCAAGTGAGAAACCCAAGAAAATGTGCAGTCGCTTGACGCCCACTTCAAATCACTATTAGAATAAATAGAAACTATTTTTCACGAGAATTTTGGCAATACGAAAAAAAATGTTTTTCCCTAAAATCCCCACCAAAAGTAAAAATTGATTTATTGAATTTTTCCAGTTCACTTGGAAATAATTTTTTGCTGGTTGGTATTTTCATTTCTGTTTCAGATATCAATATTTGGTTTGCATAATTAAAAATGATATTAACCATCACCGGTATAAAATAAAAAGCAATTATTTCCTTTTAAAATTCAGAGCCTTGACTTCAATTCTTTTTTTTAAATATCTCACTCAGAAGTCATTTTTTCAAAGCCTTGCACTAAAAATAATATTTCTTTGCGTTTAAGAAAAATATTTTTTCTTCCGAAAGCAACCAATTAAAAAAATTGCAGAAAGCAATTTTCTTTGATTGAAATTGGACTAAAAAAATTGGCTATAAATCTCATCCCCTGTTTATTGCACAGGCGAAAGGAA